TGATGCGAATTCTTTGCTCTTCATTTTCTATAAGCAGAGTTAACAGACCCTGTTGTATTTTCTTGTAATTTATTAAAAGAGGGTACACCGCCATCTTGTGCCGACTAAACTGACTTGAACGCACCTGACGTCGTAATTACGACTTGTCAACTCATAAGTACGAATGTCCCAGGAGGACTTGAACGCAGCATTAGCGCTTCTTAAGTAAGACAAATTAAGTTGATTTTTGACTTATTGAAATTAAGTATACCTACTCTGAGAGTATGCGGTTTCAGACGCAGCCGATGTTTTTAATTCAGCTGGAGTTAAACTCTCCAGGACAGTTTGGACCCCAGTGACTATAGCACATGTGGGCTACAACAAGAAAACGAGACAACTCGCGCATCCACAGACAGGACACATTCACAAGGGCAAACCATGAAGTAACGTAAATGAACGAAACAAACCGCTGCATCTTGAAACAGGTACTTTTAAAATAACCAATTTAACTTCATACGTTAAAATTGTGACACAGAGTGCTGAACTCCGGTGTCATGCCAGTGGCGGCAAAACTGTTTGCGCGTTTATAATGATAATTACGGCAATTCTGACAGCGGAAATTGTTTTGTTTTGTTTTTCTTTCGGTCAGCAAAGTCCTCGGCAAGACTCGCCACACAATTTTAACAACAAAGGGAAAACACGAATGATGCTTCGATTTGAATGTGAAATGTTATTCTTGACATGTAAGATTTAGTTAGACTTGTCTTGGAAATAAATTACTTTCACTTTCATTTTTTATGTTTTTTTTGCGGGAAAACAACATAGGGACAAAACATTTATTTCCATAGAAACTGCGTTCATTTTGTCGTGGAAAAGTGTTGAAAATGACGGCCTCTATTTCGATCACATTGTGTGCATTCTTCGTGGCTGGTAAGACATTTAAATTGTTCAACTCTCTCTTCCATAGCCTAAACAATGAAACCAAATAATGATGTGCTATGCAAATACTACAGGCTACATACATGCACAATAATATGCATTGTAATAATAATAATAATAATAATAATAATAATAATAATAATACAGTGTCCAAAAATCGATTTCAATAATAGCAAAAAGCAGTGTTGGGGAAAGTTACTTTTAAAAGTATACAACAGTGTTCCTCAAATCTTGCCGTGGAGTGCCTGTGCGCTGCAGAATTTAGCCTCCAACCCTAAACAAAGTCACCTAGGCCAGTGGTTCTCAAACATGTCCTGAGCTGTGTCCGAAACCGCTCCCTATCGCCTATAGTCAATGAGTATAGAAGCCCAAGATGCGAAACGCTGTAGTGATAAGGGCAACAGTCTATAGATGGCGCTGCGGAGGCGTTGCCTCCATTTTCCAAACAATTCCTGATAGATTTCCAAAAAATCCTGGAAAGTTTCCAAAGTTTCTGGAATGTTTCACTACATGTGACCCATCACTGTGATCCGATCAAGCAGAACAATCTAATCAATGGTGAAAAATATTGAACAGGGTGTCACTGTAAATGCTCGAGTCTAGTGATAAAAACCTCACCTAAAAATAAAATGGCATCATACCATGGGTAAATGTTGATATTTAACATCAGTATCAGGTGATCAAATGAACCTTAAATGTACAGTGAAACACTTTGGATAAAATATTCTGCATAAAAATTGTAAATGTAATTCAAACAGCAGGACTAAAAATAATAACGTTTTGTAGAACAATGCGTCATCTTATGTTGGAAAATAGCACAATTTAATGAAATACAAAGTAAAAATATAAAAAAATAAGATGATAAAAAGACCTCACCTTTTTCGAATACTGAAAGATCGATTAGAGAGCAGACAGACGGCTCCATATGATTTTGAATCACTCTTGCAGTATAGTGCAGTCATACACCGATCGTTCTGTGCAGGGGACCGTTCTTTGTACCTCTTAATACATCTGAGATGATTTGACAGATGCCAGATCTTTTAATCCTGATAACTGATCACTGGCTAATTTTGTTCTTCAAACAATTTAGTGGATTAAATTGAAATATCTGGATTAAGTTGTCTGAGATTACTCCGTGTTGACATGTTCATTGGAAAAGGCATGTATATCGATACTCAAAACCATGATTAGCAATGCAGTGATTGGCTGGCGGCAAGACAGCAATGTAATGGCATTGTATAATTAAAATCAAGAAAACAGCCCAGCAAGCAAAATTATTATTTCTTATTTCTTTATAAATTTTTTCCCTGGTTTAATAAGGTACTTTTGTAAGAAAGCAGCAGTGGCTGGGACAGACTTTCAGTATCACTTTCATTTAAAACAGTACAATCTAATCCTGTTTACATGAAATAAGATGCTCCCAAGCAGGTTTAAGCTAATGGACCTATTACTATGACATCAACTCCAGGATGAGCATTGAAGAACCTAACAATCCTGGATTATGTCAAATCATCAACAATAAAATCTGCATAATCCATGTATGAAGAATGGACCACACACCTTTTGCCTTTGTTTGTTTTGGTCATGTGCTCCTCTTGTCCTGCCTCCTCATTTTCTCTTGCCACATACCCTCTCGTTTAGTCCTTGCCCAGTCTTCATTCTGTTAAATTCTCTTTCTGTTTACACTTTTGTCAGTTTGTAATTTTGAACCTTTTTTTTTCTTGTCACTTTATTTAATTTAATAATTTTATTTAAATTTTGGGTACGTGTGACGTCACACAGCCAAGAATCTGTGAATGGCTGGATTTTTATCATTATAGGGTGGTTGTGTACACACACTTCCAAGACACATTTCAAACAACATGTAAAAGTGAATTTTGCATCCGATGACCCCTTTAAAATATATTTTTTAGAGTAAATAAGAATAATAAAAAGCAGATAGAACAGAAATAGAATAGAGAGTGCTAATGTTAGAGCGTCACTTTTTCAGAGGACTTTTCTGAATAACAGTGGGCATTTTAAATGCTCAGGACAGACAAGGGACTCATGAACAACTAGCACAAAACAAAGAACATCCATCCAGATAATGACATGCAGTATTAAGAATCAAGCGTATGTAAACTTTTTCATTTGTGTTCAATCTTGTCTTGTGATCAATATGTGAACATTTATCATGTGAGGTCGATTAGTCAGAGCAGTGCTATAAATAATATAAAAAAGATGCTTTTACTTTATTAAATTATTAAAATTTTGCATATTTTGCAAAGGGTATGTAAACATATGAGCAGAACTGTGTTATGACTCATGATGTGTGTTGTGTGTTGTTCATTTAGTTAAGGCAATCCGTGAGACTCTTGTCTAATGAGTAAATGTCTGAATCAATGTTCTTCTGCTGTTTGTTAGCATGTGTTACATTATGAATCCAGACATATTTCTTTACCTACTATCTGTAGAAGAACATTTTCACAGCACTTTGCTGTTGTGTAATTTTGTTTAACTAATAATAACTGTTAATTTATTTTTTAGGTGTGCCTGGTGTTTGTACATATTATGGAGTGTCACAGTCTGTGATGGAGGGAGAATCAGTGACTTTACCCACTGGTGTTGAAACGAACAAACAAAAAAAGTTGAGATGGTATTTTAATGACATTCTCATTGCTGAAATCAATGGAGATCTCAGTTTTCGTTGTACAGATGTTCAGTGTAAAGATTCTGATAAGAGATTTAGAAACAGACTGAAGCTGGATCATCAGACTGGATCTCTGACCATCAAAGACACCAGAACCACCGACTCTGGAGTTTATAAACTAAAGACGATAAGAAACAGCGGAGACAGTGTAAAGATCTTCATTGTTACTGTGCATGGTGAGTCATTACGTTTATGCTGCTGCGCATCTGTGTTGCTTGGTAGCCTCTCTTCTAAACATTCCTGAACTATATTGCTATACAAAATGTAAATTATTTAAATTATGAAATTATAATATTCTTGTTTTATGACATCTTGCCAGGTATATGAAGTAATTATTTTATGAAAGCAATTAGCCCTGTGAAGTTTGAGGCACTCGGCTCTGCGTTGTGCTTAGCGACGCACTTGGCTGTTTTAAAATCACTGTAAACCATGTCCTAACAGGCTTATTGCTTTAATTTAGTTCAGTAAGATTTAAAGTTGATTTGTTTTTAGTCTTAGCAGTTAGTTTTGGTTCATAAAGAGCTGCATTTGTGTTTTGGTCTAAATTAAAGGGATAGTTCCCCCAAAAATGAAAATTCTGTCATCAAGTACTCTCCCTCATGTCGATCCAAACCCGTAAGACCTTCATTAATCTTCGGAACACAAATTAAGATATTTTTGATGAAATCAGAGAGCTTTCTGTCCCTGCATAGACATCAACACAACTACCAAGGCCCAGAAAGTTAGTAAGGACATTGTTAAAATAGTCATATCAATAGGGATAAAATAGTGACATCAGTGATTAAAGCATAATGTTATGAAGCTACGAGTAATGACTTTATTAAACAATTTCTTCTCTTCCATGTCAGTCTGCAACACACGTTCACCAAAGTACCAAGATGCATATGTGTGCATTCCTCTGCTTGCAAACAAGGCTGTGTCAGCAGCACCACATGCATGTATTGTGTACTCTTGTGAACATGTGAATTCCTTTTATCTATTCCTTTTATTTAACTAAAAATGTCTTTGGGGGGGTCAACTCGCATCTACTTTCAAGGTGAAGCATTTGGCATTTTTCACAGCATGTTCCTGTTGTGTCATTTTGTTCGGCTTATAATAACTGTTCATTTCTTCTTCAGGTTTTTTCAGTATTAATACAGAAGAAGAGTCAGCATTTGTGATGGAGGGAGATTCAGTCACTCTACACACTGTTGTTAAAACAAATCAACAAGAATATTTAACTAAAAATGTCTTTGGGGGGGTCAACTCGCATCTACTTTCAAGGTGAAGCATTTGGCATTTTTCACAGCATGTTCCTGTTGTGTCATTTTGTTCGGCTTATAATAACTGTTCATTTCTTCTTCAGGTTTTTTCAGTATTAATACAGAAGAAGAGTCAGCATTTGTGATGGAGGGAGATTCAGTCACTCTACACACTGATGTTAAAACAAATCAACAAGAAAAGATTAGATGGTATTTTAATGATGCTCGTATAGCTCAAATCACTGGAGATCTCAGTTATATCTGTACAGATGTTCAGTGTGAAGATGCTGATGAGAGATTCAGAGAGAGACTGAAGCTGGATCATCAGACTGGATCTCTGACCATCAAAGACACCAGAACCACAGACTCTGGAGATTATACACTAAAGACGATAAGAAACAGCGGAGACAGTGTAAAGATCTTCATTGTTACTGTGCATGGTGAGTCATTACGTTTATGCTGCTGCGCATCTGTGTTGCTTGGTAGCCTCTCTTCTAAACATTCCTGAACTATATTGCTATACAAAATGTAAATTATTTAAATTATGAAATTATAATATTCTTGTTTTATGACATCTTGCCAGGTATATGAAGTAATTATTTTATGAAAGCAATTAGCCCTGTGAAGTTTGAGGCACTCGGCTCTGCGTTGTGCTTAGCGACGCACTTGGCTGTTTTAAAATCACTGTAAACCATGTCCTAACAGGCTTATTGCTTTAATTTAGTTCAGTAAGATTTAAAGTTGATTTGTTTTTAGTCTTAGCAGTTAGTTTTGGTTCATAAAGAGCTGCATTTGTGTTTTGGTCTAAATTAAAGGGATAGTTCCCCCAAAAATGAAAATTCTGTCATCAAGTACTCTCCCTCATGTCGATCCAAACCCGTAAGACCTTCATTAATCTTCGGAACACAAATTAAGATATTTTTGATGAAATCAGAGAGCTTTCTGTCCCTGCATAGACATCAACACAACTACCAAGGCCCAGAAAGTTAGTAAGGACATTGTTAAAATAGTCATATCAATAGGGATAAAATAGTGACATCAGTGATTAAACCATAATGTTATGAAGCGAGTAATGACTTTATTAAACAATTTCTTCTCTTCCATGTCAGTCTGCAACACACGTTCACCAAAGTACCAAGATGCATATGTGTGCATTCCTCTGCTTGCAAACAAGGCTGTGTCAGCAGCACCACATGCATGTATTGTGTACTCTTGTGAACATGTGAATTCCTTTTATCTATTCCTTTTATTTAACTAAAAATGTCTTTGGGGGGGTCAACTCGCATCTACTTTCAAGGTGAAGCATTTGGCATTTTTCACAGCATGTTCCTGTTGTGTCATTTTGTTCGGCTTATAATAACTGTTCATTTCTTCTTCAGGTTTTTTCAGTATTAATACAGAAGAAGAGTCAGCATTTGTGATGGAGGGAGATTCAGTCACTCTACACACTGATGTTAAAACAAATCAACAAGAAAAGATTAGATGGTATTTTAATGATGCTCGTATAGCTCAAATCACTGGAGATCTCAGTTATATCTGTACAGATGTTCAGTGTGAAGATGCTGATGAGAGATTCAGAGAGAGACTGAAGCTGGATCATCAGACTGGATCTCTGACCATCAAAGACACCAGAACCACAGACTCTGGAGATTATACACTAAAGACGATAAGAAACAGCGGAGACAGTGTAAAGATCTTCATTGTTACTGTGCATGGTGAGTCATTACGTTTATGCTGCTGCGCATCTGTGTTGCTTGGTAGCCTCTCTTCTAAACATTCCTGAACTATATTGCTATACAAAATGTAAATTATTTAAATTATGAAATTATAATATTCTTGTTTTATGACATCTTGCCAGGTATATGAAGTAATTATTTTATGAAAGCAATTAGCCCTGTGAAGTTTGAGGCACTCGGCTCTGCGTTGTGCTTAGCGACGCACTTGGCTGTTTTAAAATCACTGTAAACCATGTCCTAACAGGCTTATTGCTTTAATTTAGTTCAGTAAGATTTAAAGTTGATTTGTTTTTAGTCTTAGCAGTTAGTTTTGGTTCATAAAGAGCTGCATTTGTGTTTTGGTCTAAATTAAAGGGATAGTTCCCCCAAAAATGAAAATTCTGTCATCAAGTACTCTCCCTCATGTCGATCCAAACCCGTAAGACCTTCATTAATCTTCGGAACACAAATTAAGATATTTTTGATGAAATCAGAGAGCTTTCTGTCCCTGCATAGACATCAACACAACTACCAAGGCCCAGAAAGTTAGTAAGGACATTGTTAAAATAGTCATATCAATAGGGATAAAATAGTGACATCAGTGATTAAACCATAATGTTATGAAGCGAGTAATGACTTTATTAAACAATTTCTTCTCTTCCATGTCAGTCTGCAACACACGTTCACCAAAGTACCAAGATGCATATGTGTGCATTCCTCTGCTTGCAAACAAGGCTGTGTCAGCAGCACCACATGCATGTATTGTGTACTCTTGTGAACATGTGAATTCCTTTTATCTATTCCTTTTATTTAACTAAAAATGTCTTTGGGGGGGTCAACTCGCATCTACTTTCAAGGTGAAGCATTTGGCATTTTTCACAGCATGTTCCTGTTGTGTCATTTTGTTCGGCTTATAATAACTGTTCATTTCTTCTTCAGGTTTTTTCAGTATTAATACAGAAGAAGAGTCAGCATTTGTGATGGAGGGAGATTCAGTCACTCTACACACTGATGTTAAAACAAATCAACAAGAAAAGATTAGATGGTATTTTAATGATGCTCGTATAGCTCAAATCACTGGAGATCTCAGTTATATCTGTACAGATGTTCAGTGTGAAGATGCTGATGAGAGATTCAGAGAGAGACTGAAGCTGGATCATCAGACTGGATCTCTGACCATCAAAGACACCAGAACCACAGACTCTGGAGATTATACACTAAAGACGATAAGAAACAGCGGAGACAGTGTAAAGATCTTCATTGTTACTGTGCATGGTGAGTCATTACGTTTATGCTGCTGCGCATCTGTGTTGCTTGGTAGCCTCTCTTCTAAACATTCCTGAACTATATTGCTATACAAAATGTAAATTATTTAAATTATGAAATTATAATATTCTTGTTTTATGACATCTTGCCAGGTATATGAAGTAATTATTTTATGAAAGCAATTAGCCCTGTGAAGTTTGAGGCACTCGGCTCTGCGTTGTGCTTAGCGACGCACTTGGCTGTTTTAAAATCACTGTAAACCATGTCCTAACAGGCTTATTGCTTTAATTTAGTTCAGTAAGATTTAAAGTTGATTTGTTTTTAGTCTTAGCAGTTAGTTTTGGTTCATAAAGAGCTGCATTTGTGTTTTGGTCTAAATTAAAGGGATAGTTCCCCCAAAAATGAAAATTCTGTCATCAAGTACTCTCCCTCATGTCGATCCAAACCCGTAAGACCTTCATTAATCTTCGGAACACAAATTAAGATATTTTTGATGAAATCAGAGAGCTTTCTGTCCCTGCATAGACATCAACACAACTACCAAGGCCCAGAAAGTTAGTAAGGACATTGTTAAAATAGTCATATCAATAGGGATAAAATAGTGACATCAGTGATTAAACCATAATGTTATGAAGCGAGTAATGACTTTATTAAACAATTTCTTCTCTTCCATGTCAGTCTGCAACACACGTTCACCAAAGTACCAAGATGCATATGTGTGCATTCCTCTGCTTGCAAACAAGGCTGTGTCAGCAGCACCACATGCATGTATTGTGTACTCTTGTGAACATGTGAATTCCTTTTATCTATTCCTTTTATTTAACTAAAAATGTCTTTGGGGGGGTCAACTCGCATCTACTTTCAAGGTGAAGCATTTGGCATTTTTCACAGCATGTTCCTGTTGTGTCATTTTGTTCGGCTTATAATAACTGTTCATTTCTTCTTCAGGTTTTTTCAGTATTAATACAGAAGAAGAGTCAGCATTTGTGATGGAGGGAGATTCAGTCACTCTACACACTGATGTTAAAACAAATCAACAAGAAAAGATTAGATGGTATTTTAATGATGCTCGTATAGCTCAAATCACTGGAGATCTCAGTTATATCTGTACAGATGTTCAGTGTGAAGATGCTGATGAGAGATTCAGAGAGAGACTGAAGCTGGATCATCAGACTGGATCTCTGACCATCAAAGACACCAGAACCACAGACTCTGGAGATTATACACTAAAGACGATAAGAAACAGCGGAGACAGTGTAAAGATCTTCATTGTTACTGTGCATGGTGAGTCATTACGTTTATGCTGCTGCGCATCTGTGTTGCTTGGTAGCCTCTCTTCTAAACATTCCTGAACTATATTGCTATACAAAATGTAAATTATTTAAATTATGAAATTATAATATTCTTGTTTTATGACATCTTGCCAGGTATATGAAGTAATTATTTTATGAAAGCAATTAGCCCTGTGAAGTTTGAGGCACTCGGCTCTGCGTTGTGCTTAGCGACGCACTTGGCTGTTTTAAAATCACTGTAAACCATGTCCTAACAGGCTTATTGCTTTAATTTAGTTCAGTAAGATTTAAAGTTGATTTGTTTTTAGTCTTAGCAGTTAGTTTTGGTTCATAAAGAGCTGCATTTGTGTTTTGGTCTAAATTAAAGGGATAGTTCCCCCAAAAATGAAAATTCTGTCATCAAGTACTCTCCCTCATGTCGATCCAAACCCGTAAGACCTTCATTAATCTTCGGAACACAAATTAAGATATTTTTGATGAAATCAGAGAGCTTTCTGTCCCTGCATAGACATCAACACAACTACCAAGGCCCAGAAAGTTAGTAAGGACATTGTTAAAATAGTCATATCAATAGGGATAAAATAGTGACATCAGTGATTAAACCATAATGTTATGAAGCGAGTAATGACTTTATTAAACAATTTCTTCTCTTCCATGTCAGTCTGCAACACACGTTCACCAAAGTACCAAGATGCATATGTGTGCATTCCTCTGCTTGCAAACAAGGCTGTGTCAGCAGCACCACATGCATGTATTGTGTACTCTTGTGAACATGTGAATTCCTTTTATCTATTCCTTTTATTTAACTAAAAATGTCTTTGGGGGGGTCAACTCGCATCTACTTTCAAGGTGAAGCATTTGGCATTTTTCACAGCATGTTCCTGTTGTGTCATTTTGTTCGGCTTATAATAACTGTTCATTTCTTCTTCAGGTTTTTTCAGTATTAATACAGAAGAAGAGTCAGCATTTGTGATGGAGGGAGATTCAGTCACTCTACACACTGATGTTAAAACAAATCAACAAGAAAAGATTAGATGGTATTTTAATGATGCTCGTATAGCTCAAATCACTGGAGATCTCAGTTATATCTGTACAGATGTTCAGTGTGAAGATGCTGATGAGAGATTCAGAGAGAGACTGAAGCTGGATCATCAGACTGGATTTCTGACCATCAGAGACATCAGAACCACAGACTCTGGACTTTATCGTCTACGTATCATCAGCAGCAACAGCATCAGTGAAAAGATCTCCATTCTTGCTGTATATGGTAAGTCATTATGTGTAAAAACAAGTCATGTACATTAAAATGTTGCTGTGACATTTTGGTTTTCTCTTTATCTGTATATTAGTTCATATACAGGTAATTTTGTCAAAAACACATTTACTGTTGAAGTGGAATTTGTATATTTAAATATATCTTTATTTCAGTATGATTCAAAACATTGCTTTTCCATTGATTATTTATTAATTTGATCATTTAGTCTTCTTCTGATGAAGGTGAAAGTTCTATTATTGTCTGTTTAAATGCATCTGTTACTCAGTTTATTTTTTTTAGTTAATCAGAAATCCAAAGTGCAGAGGATTTGATAAAAAAAATGCTTATTAGCTAAATTTAGGATACATTTAGGTTTTTAGACAAAGTAAAGAGGATTCCACAGTTCACTCATGTAGTGTGTTCCCCTCAAAAAGATCCTCCAGCAGCTGTTGGTTTGTGTTTCAGATGCTCCTGAACAAGATAAAATGAAGAGAAAGTCAGTGAAGGAGGGAGAATCTGTTACTTTAGATCCTGGTGAAGTTAACCTGAATTATTTGATGACATGGTATTTTAATGACACTCTCATCGCTGAAATCACAGGAGATCCCAATAAAACCTGTACAGATGGTCAGTGTGAAGACCCTGATGGAAGATTCAGAGACAGACTGGATGTTAATCAGACTGGATCTCTGACCGTCAGAAACACCACAATCACAGACTCTGGGCTTTATAAACTACAGATCAACAGCAGCAACAGAATCAGTATCATCAAGATATTCAGCGTTATTGTCACTGGTGAGTATCATTAGTCATTCCATGCACTTTACTTTGCAGTTTTAGAAAACCGTTTGAAATATGTAAATCAACCCAGTGAATGATTTCATTGTGGGCTGTTAGAAAGAGTGAGCTTTGGTTCAGTGTTAAAATATAACTGAGATCATCTCAGTCACCTTCACATGCTTATCACATTGAGTTTTGTTACATTATGAATTTGACCATTTTCAAGTCTATTGTTAGTAATGACAGGAAGGCATAATATTAGTTAGTTGTCCTGTAAACGCTGCTGTCTCTTGTTGCGGTTTTACCTGCTGTTCATCAAAAATCCACCAGATTTATGAAATAAATCAATATCATACTGGTGACCTAGAAAAGTGTAAATATCAGTCAAAGCTATTGGTAAAGTTGATTATTAGTCAATCTCTAGAAGTAATGCTTGTCTGTCTTTAGCTGTTCCAGATTCAATAGTGTCTTCAGCTGCTAAAGAAGGAATATATGCTGTTGTTGTTGTTGTTGTTGTTCTGCTGTTTACGGCTGCTGCAGCTGCTGCTGTGATTTACTATCGCCACAGGAAATCTACACAAGCAGGACGAAATGGCAAGCATTGCATACAGCTAATTTGACAAGATTAGATTTGTTCCAATTAACCTAATTATTGTGTGTTTAATTTAATTTGTTGTTGTTGAAACAGGCATAATTAGGCTGCACAGTTACAATGAGGTGAGATACTATATGTGCACTGTCTTTCTTTTTGCAAAAAAAAAAAAAAAACTGTGAATTTTCATATTGATTTCTGTGCGATCTGCAAATCTCACAATTATA